GTAGTAGTAGTTATGGTAGTAGTAGTTATGGTAGTAGTGGTAGTAGTAGTAGTAGTAGTAGTAGTAGTAATAGTAGTACTGATACTAGTACTGGTACTGGTACTGGTACTGGTACTGGTACTGGTACGAGTACAGTACTAGTACTAGTACTAGCAGCCGCAAAAGGCAGTAGTAGACTGGAAGCTGCAAACGCCAAACACGTACACTCTAAACCCCAAAATACCCTCAACACCACAACGGATGCACCTTGGCGGTCTTCTGCGGCCCCGAGGGGCTGTTTGGGGATATGCGCTCGGCCTGAGCTCCTTCAAAGGTGGGAGAAGCTTTCAGGAAGATCGGATTGTCGGGGTACACTCCCCAGGACCAACATAGAACTTGAACTACGTGGGGCTCTAAGTTAGCACAAAGCCTCTCACAATGCTTACGAGTGTTGAGTTGCTAGGGTCTTATTTGGCTCTGCTTGGGCTCCGCTGGGTCTTGACTGTAGGTGGACATAAAGGGAGTTGGCTGTCTTTGCCTTAATGTACTTCGTATGTGCACAAAGGAGCAGGGCTTCACGGATTGAAGACGAATGCTATTGTCGGCATGCTTAACTTAACAATCGCAGTACCGGCCCGCGACTTTCCTATCTCTGCGTGCGCACACTTTGACTACACATGCGCACGCCGACGACGACTACTACGACGAAGACTGCAGCTGCGACTGCGACTGCGACGACGACTACAACTGCCACTGCCGCTGCCGCGACCACTACTACATCTGAATTCGTTTCTGGCACTGCTAACTATTCCTGCTTCTATTGCGACGGTGGCGACAACGTGGCATGCTTCTGCACTCGAACTATGCCTAAAAACAAATACTTCTTCGGCTTCCTTAGAAGCCTTGGAACCAACTCTGCTTGCATGTAGATCCGTGTGGGTGCACCGGCTTAGTGTTCCCACCAACAAGTGCAGCAGAAGCTAGCATCGACCGGCAACTCTTCGCGGGGAGGTTGGGTTTGCCGAGTGTCAACCAACGCCCTCTAAACTTCAGAGCTTAAGGTCGCCAGCTTCGAGCACAACACTTTAGTGACCCGGCATGCACCGCTGCACCTCGTGTGGATCGGCTGCAGCAGGAGTGGACCTCGAGGGAACGTTTGAGACTTCACTTCGACACCAGCCCTCGCTATTACTTTGCAAAGCAAAGCGTGGCACATAGTCCATGTGATATATCATCAGAACTGGAGATGCGCTGCCCTGGCAATGTACTCGGCTTCATTCACAATTCATGTCGAAAGCCCTACCAGGAACCTCGAACCACAGGCTCACCTCCACATCCCGGAAACAAGCGCCAACTTAATTCCTGACACGGCCGTCATGCCTCAGCACGTTGGTACCAGACACCTCAAGTTGGCGGTAAGGCCCAGCAGCAGGTTTTGGAGAAGGTCTTAAGACCCGACCCTCCTGCAGCTTCTGATGCGGATATGCTCAAATGCTGCAGCTTCTCCGGGCGAAGTTTCTCACTCTCCCCCAGCCGACCTGAATTAGACAAGTAGCCCCAACCCCCGAGCTACCTACTATATAGGGTACTGCAGCCCCTTGTGCGCCAAATATAGCAGGTACCTGGGGGGGTTGGGTAGCCTTTTAGATGAACCGAAACCCCACCGCGCCGGGAGAGGTGATTCCACAACCCAGCGTGGACGGCAAGCCTTGGAAGTCTGGATCTCCAAAAGCTTCGGTAACCCTGAGCCCGCAAACCCTGAATTCACATACCCTCGCCTCCGGAACATATCATGGACGAGCCACCGCGATTTGTGGCAAACCGCGCGGGCGCAGGATGTCTGAGAAGGGCGGAGCCTGTCAGTTCGGTTGACCACGAGGGTTTGGGCTTTAGGGTTCCTGGTCCGCGCGAAACGAACTCTCCAAACTGGTTTAGGGCTCGACCTTCATGTCACCACCGGTTGGACATTAGGCCAGCTGTTCAACACGTCAACTAAGCAATAGACTTACCCTACATCTTGACTCGCAAACCCGAAACTTGAAAGCTCCAGACGGCCCTACGCCGGAACTCCTAAACCCATGATTCCGAAGCGCATGATGTGGCGTTTTTGCAATCGCACTTCAAGCCGGGAGTTGCAAGCTCTTTTGATCCAAAGGGTTTGGATCTTCCAACCCAGAGACTTCCAAATCGCTCTAATCAAGGACCACGAGTATCTTGCAAGTTAGGATCAGCGATCCTGAACAAGAACCCCCCTGATTTGTGACGAAGACAGGCTTTGGGGTTGAGACCTCTGTCCAAAAAGTGGTCGGATCTGAGGTTTAGGTGTTTGGCTCCCCACGCTGAGGGTGTAGGTCTGAGGTGTAGGGTAAATTGGCCAGTTTAGGATTTCAGGCCAGCTCTGGGGCACTACAATAAGACCTTGCGCACGAAAGCCTTCTCCCTAAACCCTGTCTTGAGATGGGAGGTTCCCGATGCCAGACGAAAGAGATCAGCCTGGATCAGTGAACAGGCACATGTATAGCTCTGTGGGTGTATCTGCCGTGTACGCGCATGTATGTTCGCATGTTTGTGTGTGTATGCTTGCATGCCTACATGTGCACATGCCTGCTACCGCGATGAACACATGCACGCATACGTGCATATCCTGTGGAGTTCATCTTTGTAAACCTTCTCATGTATATAGGTCGACACAAGCACGGGCTGTCAGGTTTTTTTTATCTAGCAGGCTTCAGTCAGCAATGTGTCTCCCCATCTCAACATTTTAAGGACGACGGGACCGTTTCTCGAGAACCTGACAGTGCAATGATCTTCCTGAGCTTCTGGCTAACTAAGTGACCTTAATGCATCAAGCGGAACTGAAGAGCAAATCTACCGAAAAGCCATCTCAAAATGGAGAATACTGCGAACGGCGTCGCGAAACAAACATGCTCTGCGATCCCATATCCCAACCGTTCTGCTAAGCAGGCTCAGAACCTGCGGGCCCATGTCTGGTCAGAACCTTTTTGCTGGCAGCCAACGCCTCGCAGGGGTGCGATCCACGAACTCGGGCAACCGAAGATGATGTCGTCGAGAAACCATGTCAATAGTGTAGACTTGGCGATGAGAATGATCCATGGCTCATGCATACCTCGTCTTCACGTGCACTGGGGCTTCCAAATCGATGCTCAAAGTCTTACCTTCCTCTGACACCAGAAAGTCGGACTCCAGCTGCCGCTGCCCTCCCTCTGCTGTTTCCTGACTTGTCCGTGTCAAGGCTGTCAAGGTCGGAGATCTTATCCAATCGTTGAGAAAGCCAGTGGAGAGTGTGAGTGTTGTCGAGATCCACGGTGACACGTGCAGCTTTGTAAAGCTCAGTTGTCGGAGTAGTATTCAGTACTAAGAGACAGAAGAAGGCCTTTGGCCATCGTCCACACTGCCCTCCAAAACATCGAAGATCTTCGAGGCATCAGGCTTCGCATGCCGGCGCCCAGACTGGAAACGTGTCTTCCACAAGTTGTCGTAGTCCTAAGCTGAATGTTTGCATGGGATGTTCGGGGAGATAGACGGCTATAGCTTATAGGCTTCGTTCGTTTTGTGCTCGAGACTCGGGATCGCCAAGCCGCCGAGCCGCATACAGGAGTCAGCAACAGAGACTCCCTTTCCCCAAGTGGATGTCCAAGCAAGTGACACCAAATTCACGAACACGAGCCGCAAGAAATCCTCCAGAACTTCACCTGAAATCCTGCAGACCCTGATGCGCTTTTAACCGTAACCCCGTTGCACTTGAACCCATCATGCCGCAAGCAACACCTACTGAGGGAATCCCAAGCTCCCGGCCGGAAAACCCAAAGCCACAAACCCTGCAGCCCGAAATTCCTACCCTGTTCAACTCAGAACGCCCACCTATCCCAACAGCCCCAAAAGGAGAGGCTGCTGTACCGAGAAAACCTTGAGGTTCTGAGGGTCCGAAGCTCATAGCGGGCTGTTTCTATACTTCTCCTATATATTTTTTTTGGGGGTTCAGGTTTGTTGTTGCCAGAGCTCTGATCAAGTGTTCCCATTTGCAGTGCAGCTAAGCGCACCGTTTCGGTTTGTGGCTGATCTGTGAAGAGAGTCGAGCTCGAAACGAACTGCTGGGAAAAGCCGCACGAACTGGCAGATGACAGCCTCGGTGGGCCATCGTTGGAGCAGAATTTACAGGGTGTGTCTGGCCTAAACTGCCTCTTGCAAGAAAAACATCAAAAGCCATGGTCGACAAAACGGTGCCCCCCCTCCCCCCTGCAGCTGCAAGGGAGCCGTCATGAGAGTCCGCGGACTAACTCCGCAAGAAAAGCGGTAGCTCTCCCCAAGCTCCTCTTTGGGAGTTCGACAGCCCGCAACTATGAAATTGTCCAAATGTGAAGTAGAAAATTCATAACTGAGCAGACGGTTATTACTCGGATCCCTCCGCTCTTCCGCCTCCGTTTCTGCGGCAGCTTCCATACAGCAGAAGGCACATACAACTATGGGATGCACAAGCCGATGCACTGGGACCGTCTGCACGAGGAAAGTCAAGACATGTTCATGTCAAGCAGATGCAGAAGCTGTTGATCAGTATGCTCCGAAAGTTACGAGGATTTGAGCGGCCTACGACGAAGATCAAGTTAAGGTCCTGAAGTGTGCGATTGCGGTCACCCTGCTTTCCACTGCTGATTAACCCTTAACAACAAATCGATACAACTGAAGAATCCTGCACATTCAAGCAGCAGAATCCGGAAGGCTCCGCCCTTGAACTTTTGAGGGCTCAGGCCTTCGTACTTCAAGGGTGCTTTGCGTAAGCAAAGTCTCAAGAAGGATCATACAGCGACTCCGGCCACGAGGAGATCTGCGAGTGGCGCAATGTGCATTGAAACTCATTCGCTGCCCTGCCCCGGAACAGTAACACAGCTCCTCTGCTGCATGGGCCAGCATTTACGTTCCACTCTAAACTATCGAGGCCCGTTTCGCCTCGTAACCCAGCGAAAGCCTTGCCTTGCAGCGCCAAGCAACGATGCAGGATATGCAGGGGAAGTGCGAGACGTACCTTCGTACTAGTCCAGCATGGTGGGCGGAGGGGGCCAGGCGGGGCTAGGCTGGGCATAAACAGATGTTTGTCGGCCTTCATCGTCATAGCAGTTGTGGCATGCAAGGACGCATACATAAGAGTCATAAACCATAACCATTCCCAAACTGAAGCCGCTGATGAGTCACCATTTTCTGACAAAAACACATAGCGACCCCATCACTCCACACCGAAGGATTTCTCACCTTCACCTCAATGTACACAACCCTCAAGTCGACTTAGCAGCACCGGCACATCCTTACGTAGCCACTGCAGTCGTCGAAGCCATCAAAGCCTGGCGGCTGGGCCCCCGTGCAGAGCTGGGTGCAAGCATGCAGACAGAACGAGAGAAGCAACACACAAGTAAACAAACAGCAACACGCATGTTGCCACGAGTAGACTCCTCTGTGCTTTAGAAGCATGTACCGGCAAACTTGTGGCTGGTGTCTGTAGATATGTGCAGATGAAAAGAACTTCAGAGTTGAGACCGAGCCGGTCCTGGATGCCCCCAGGCTCTGCTTCTGTTTTACATCCTTATCAGCAGGAACCGAGGCTACAGAGCTGCGGTTGCTGCTTCTAGCATTCTAACATTTGAATAAGGTTTGGGGTCCATCATACTGTATAAGTGTTGTTAAGGAACCCCCAAAATAGTATTGGTAACTATTTCGGCCCCTATATTACATCAGCCTGGACACGGGTGACGTAAGTGGGTGGTCACACATGCGCATGTAGGGATCGAAGAAATGACATGAAGTGGCCAGCAGCACTCCAAACGAGGCCTAGGCCCACGAAAGTGATTGTTGTTGGAGTCTTGTTTTGAGGGGCAGGGGTAAGGGGTGGCGAAGGGGCCGGATTTCAACAAAAGTCTTGCTGCAGCAACGCAGCCACATCTTCTTGCAATGGCTCTCGTTTGGTGGAGTAGACCTGTGTGGACAGGGCCAAAAGCGGTTTAGGGTTTCGGGCTTCGCAACGTGCCGATAGGATGCTGCCACTGCCTGCGGTTTATCCTTCCGGTTAGAATCGGTTAGAACTTTCTGACGCTTGGGAGCTTGTACCAACGCTGGAAGCACAAGCTGCATTATTTCTGTCTGTGGCTTGGTTCTTCAGAAGGCACCCGTCACGGTATGATCCGACATTCCCTTACGGCAAGCCCCGACAATTTTTCCATGGCATCACCAAGATGCAGAACCGTTCGCAGTGATCGTCACGGTGGATATGGCCTTCACAGAGCATCATGCCAAGAGTCTCGGCGTTTTTAGCACGCAGGGCAGGCTGGCGAGTGCAAGGCTGGCAAGGCTTCCCATTGCGATCCGCTCCTCCTTGCCATACTAGGGACGGGGTTTTGGGGTCCCTACTATAATAAGGAACCCCCAAAGTAATGTAGGTAATTAATTTGGGCCCCTATAGAGAAGGCTTTTTCAGCATTGCAGCTGAGGTGCTGAACACGGGTAACAGCATCTTCTGCAGTCCTCGGAGCTGGCAATCAGGGGTTGCATCTCCAAGAGCTGCCATGGAGTTTTTGCAACAGTGCGGTGATATCGAAAATGCCATTGCCTCCAGGAACTATACGTATATGGTGATATGATGTGATATGTATATATATATATATATATATATGGGGTGGACGAATCTGCAAGCGTTGCGATATTGAATGCCTGAGTTTGTTGAGGGTTTACAAGCCTGTATATAACCACATTGACGATCAACCATGACCAACCCTTCCCTTCCCGTGGTACACTCCCGCCCGTTTTTGTAGAACGACGGAACGAAAAGGCTCCACTCTCAGACAGTGCGTTAACGAGCATTAAAGGGAGTTTATCACGCCGGGGCTGGCACATGCAGGGGCGAGGCCGCCTAACAGCGCAGATGCAAGAGTTGGATGGCCCCGGGCTCATGCAGCGAACAACTCATTAACTTCTTTGACTTATTCTTGCTCGGTAGAAAACTGACAGGCAGCACAATGTGGAACAAGAAACAGGAGCGCATGCAACAGGTGAAATCAATACTGCTATTCCGGCAGAACATCCCCCGAGTGGTTGGAGCAACAAAACATCTCCAGACCAGCCGCTGTCCACTCCATCAAGAACGCCCCAATAGAAAAGCCGACCCGGCTCGACGAGCAAAAGCTCCTTCAAAGAGTTCTGGGTCTTGCACATGCTTACTGCCTCTGCGCTGTTGAGGGTCATGAGGATAATTTAGGTTTGGGTTGAAGGTATGGGTCCTGTCTCTTCGGTGTCGGCGAGTTGACAGAAGCTCTTAGCTTCGACTCTCGCCTCTTTCGAAACTTCAAAGCCCGAATTGCAGTGTCAAGTTGTGTATTAGGTTAAGAGGCCCCGAGGCTTGGGCTGAAATGGACTAGCCCCCTCCCGCTTCAACAAAAAAAGCGTCGACATCCTCGCGCTGAACATCCAACCCTGACCAGACTGCCGCCTGCAGGCTCAAGGTTTAAGGAGAAAGCCACTTCGGGGAATTTCTGCAATATGACACTACTTTAGTTTTTCATTCAGTACTACGAAAATTCCATGAGACGGAAGAATCTTGACTGCCTCTCCACGACAGCCGAATGCCTTAACTTGGACAACTAATTACTTGGCCACGTAACTCCTGTCCGTGAGCACGGAGGTGTGCGGGCGGGGGGTGTTCTAAAGTTCTGCATTCGGAAACCCCGGCTCTCGAGCTAAACCATGGTTGCTCAAGGTGCAGCCCCAAAAGAACCATCGTCCAGAGTGCCACGCCTCCTTGAAGAAGATCCGGCTGGAAAACCAGGCAACAATACCTCTGGAGATCCAAGTCCGAAGTGCCGGGATCATATTGCGATTCCGCTTAGCAGGTCGGAGCAAGGAGCGGACCTGGACCTCCTTCCGCCGAAAGCGAACTCGAAAATGGACTGACTGCAAAGGCAAGCAAAAGCATGCAGGATCAAAAGAACTGCTAGATCTACATCAGTGATCTACACTTAATCTATTTCTACGACACAGTCAACCATCAATCTCTATACTTATAACTGTAACTCCGCCCTGCATTATCGTAGATAGACTCAAGTATGAAGCACACATGCCATGTTTTGACATACACATGCGCATAAGCATCAGTTTGCACCCATAGACTACCATACCTTTATTTTATGTTACATATATATATATATATATATAAGCGAAACTGTGTTCGCTCGTCCGTATCCTGGCGACTACGCGTAGACTAAAGCCTCCCACGAGAGTGCCTTCTGTCGATGGCACCCGGACCGCGCGCCCGAGTGGTCTTTCTGGACCTCGGTTGAAGCTCAGTGAGGCCCAGAAATGGCTCAGTCCGGCAAAGCGCTTTTTGTGGGCTTGTGGGCTAGGGTTTACTACAACAATGTCAGGTTTACGAACACCTCCGGACAACTTTGCAGTATCAGGTTTCAGGGTGTCCAAGGACCGCCGAGCGCCTCGGATTCTGGTTTGCGCGACAAGACAGTCTGAAGCTTTCGGCTTCTCACCGAAAGCCATGTGAGAAAAAAGCCATTACGCTGTTTTGGGTCAAAGGTTTAGATAGGGACAAGCATGGTTTAGCTCGCGAGTGGACTCGTCCATATAAAAGTACTTTCACATCAATCCTGTTTTGCCCTCGACTGGACTGTTTCGACGAGCTGAGTACATCAAGCTGTCTCATAATCTAGGAAACCCCAAAAGGGCAAGCAAAGACCCTCTCCTCACGCCCAGGATGGTTCAATTTTCGCGGCTCTGACTGTCTTGGCCGTACTGGACAGGCAACACGTCGGAAGAGTCTCGATCGTCCTGGCTTGCGACAATGGTTTAGGATGATAATTAGGGTCCAAAGGGCAGGGTCAAGCGTGCTTATGAGGGCGAACCTAGACCGTTGCCGGACAAGTTATTGTCTGATCAGGGTCCTATAACACCAAGTAGGTAACCCCTAGAACGGGACAACCCAAGGTGGGAGGCTTCAAGAACGAAGGGGGCAGGGAGAGCCGGACTTCCGAAAAAGCCAACACCAAAACGGACCGCCTCTTTGGCCCAACCCCTTCTGAAACCCCAAAACCCCAAGCTCCGCGGATTTCTCTACCCACAGAAGTCTAACCACGAATACCCCCAAACCCTGTCTGTTGCGGCCTCCTGGTGTGCCGGGGATGACTCACGGCTCATGGCGTTTTGGAAGAGCGTCGGATCTTCCCTTGCACAAGTCGCGGCCGACGGAGCGCTGCAAGAGCAATAACAAATGTCAGCATGGTACACAGAACACCTACCCGCGTATATATATATATATATACACACATACATACATACATACATACATACATACATACATACATACATACACACTCATCCGTGTATCTGCGAACTTACATACATGCCTGTATGCCGAAGGTCTCGGCTGAGAGCCATAAGCAGAGTCAGGAAGCAGGCAGCCTCAATCGTCTTAGCGGACGGGTGTCGCCCAGCGCTTGAACCGCAAATCCTAGCGGGCAGCTGTTCCAAGATGCCAAAACTGGCCCCCTAAAAACGGGATCCATGATCCACGGCGATTTCCCCTCCTTCAGTTCCAATTCCGCTGGGTCCGAATAGGCTGCTTGCCTCTTCTGAAAGTGCACGGGGATGCCGGCGTCGACTGCGGAGGGCAGGTACCTTTGCGGGTTCAGATTCACTCAAGTTTCGGGTTTCGCACGGATTGGTCGTTTGCAGATTTGCAGGGGGCGGGGTGCTTTGCCTAGCTTTGCGGGCGGGTAGGGCAGATAACGGTAGGTAGCACGCGCTTGGTTGCCATGTGCATCCCAAGTATGATCAGGGCCCGACTTGAAGTGTGCCCCAATTCCGTCAGTCTCCCTCCGACGCAACCATCTGGAGAACCCTGGAGCCCCAACGTCTGAAATCCTGAAAAAAGCGTAGAAACCCTCCGTTGATCCAGAAACAACGCTGTAACCAGCCAGAAACTCTATCCTAACATATCCTAACACAATCCGAACCCCAGCTCACTTCTTCAGGAGGGGCGAAAGCCGCCGATCGACAAGTTGGACAGGACCTAGGGCGTTTTTTTTCCCACCCGCCCAGCTGA